GGCGGGGGCGGGGCTGAGGGTCGCGGCTGCGCAGCGGCGCCGCGCTCGGGGTTTCCATGTGTTAGATGGCGTGTGCACGCTGAGGCTTTGATAGCAGCTGGTTCAGCACCTGCACCGCCACAACCACAAAACACTGTTGATGCCGCGCTCGCTCCCGCTCCTTGCTCCAGGCCGCGGATGCTGCGGCGCCGGGCGGCGCTCTGCATGAGGCGGAGGGGGCGGAGGGGCGGCTCGAGGCGCACGACGCGCCGGGGGGCTTGGAGCTGGACTGGGCGGCGGAGCGGGCGACCGTTTATGGGCAGCTGGCAGCGGCTCAGCAGGTGCGGCGCGTAACACGGCAGGTGTTTTTGGGGGGGGACGGAGGGGGGCTGGTGCAGTGACCAGATGGTGGGTGTGGATTCAGAACGTGCTCGTTTCATCCAAGTGGCCCCTTGGACAAAGGCGCGTTGCCTGCTGGGCTCTCACTGCCACTCCGCAAAACGCCACAACCGCCTGCGCTGCGGCCAGCCGCGCGCAGGCCCGCCCCCTCGCGCCTCCTCTGCAGCGCCATCGCTGCTGCAATAACCCCGCCCCTGCCCCCCCCTTCTCCTTCCCACCCCAGGCGGCCGAGGAGGCCGAGGCGCTGCGCGGCGAGGTGGAGGGCCTGCACGCTCAGCTGCAGCAGCAGAGGGACCAGGCTGCGGCGGCGCTGCAGCATAGGGATGCGGCGGCGCGGGCCCAACAGCAGGCGCAGCTGCAAATCCAGGCGCAGCTCCGGCTGCAGCTCCAGCTGCAGGGCGCGGCCAAGAATCACTGTATAGGGCAGCTCCAGGAGGAGGTGGTGCGCCGGCAGGCAGAAGCCGGGGAGCTGCAGGCGAAGATGTCAATGAAGGACGAGATCATTGCCCAGATGCAGGGGCAGATGGCGCGCCAGCAGGCGGCAGGCGAGAAGGCGCAGGCGCGGATCCGGCACCTGGAGGCGCAGCGCGCCGAGCTGCGTAAGGGTTGCAGCGAATTTGAGGCGGCGGCACGCAGACTGCGCGCCGAAAGCATCAGGTTGATATCAGAAGCGCGCGTCAACGGGGAGCACGCGGCGCGGCTGCAGGGCTACCTGGCGCTGATGACGGAAGGCGCGGAAACGGCGCGCGGCGAGGCGGAGGCGCTGCGGGGTCAGCTGGCGCGCCTGCAGGCGTGCCTGGGGGCGGTGCGGGAGGAGTGCGCCGCGGTAGATAGCGACAGCAGTGGCAGCTTTGACGACGACGGAAGCGAGGGCTGGGCTGAGGGCGGCCGCGAGTCCCAGGCGCTCTCAGGCGGCAGCTGCGCTGCCACTACCAGCGGCAGCGCCGCCACTGCCGCCAGCGACAGTGTCGACGAGGCCAGCAGCCGCCCGGCCGGCGATGCGCATGCCACCTGCAAGGACGCGCCCGCGGCGGCCGGCGCTTCAGTGCCAAGCGCCACCCGGGCCGATGGCGCCGGCGCGCTCGCTGCCTGCTGCGGCGCCGACGGCGGTCTGGCCGGCGTTGTGCCGAGCGGCCGTGCGTGCGAGGGCGCGGTCGAAGCGGTCAGCTGCACGCGTGACGACGACTACTGCAGCATGCCTGAGGCCGGCGTCGACCCTGCCGCCGCCTCCATTGCCGCCGGCGCGCTGCAGCAGCAATTCGCCGCCTCAGAGGAGCAGGTGCAGGCGGACGGCGCCAGCTGCAGCAACAGCGAGCAGGGCAAGGACGGCGACGCCTCGGTGGCTGCCGCGCAGGATTGCTCTGTGATCGTCATCGTGCGCGTCGGCTCCCCCTGCGGTCCCAAGGCGGCGGCGCTGGCGATTGTCGAGGGCCACGACTGCAGCGGCGCCTGCGACGCAACTGACCACGGAGCCGGCCCGCCCGACATCGCCGAGGCCATGAATGCTGGGCGTGAGGGGGCGGCGCCAGGCGTGGGCGCGGGCGCGCGCCCAGTCTGGTGGGGCCGGCTGCGTGGCAGGGCGCGCCAGGCCAAGGCTGCGCTGCGGCGCGGGGTGCTCGCGCCCCTGTGCTTCACCGGGACAGAGGCCGACCGCTTCTGAGGTGTGGGCTGCAAGACTCCAACTGGGCTACAGGGACCCAATTCCTTTCTGCACTCGCATGAGCCCGGGAATACAAACGTTTTGAGCCGCCGCCATACCGGCCGCCAAACGTTCCTTTGCTGCTGCATGCGCACTCGGCTCTGGAAGCCTGCATGTATGCGCGTGCTGTGTGCGCAGTGTCACTGCCTGTGGTGCCTGCACACGCGTCACAATGCGGGCTTCAGCAGGGTTGATGGGCAACCCAATCCTTTTCTGCAATCGCATGAACCTGGGAAATTGAAACGTTTTGAGCCGCCGCCATACCGGCCGCCAAACGTACATTCTGCTGCTGCCTAAGCACCTGGCTGTGCAAGCCTGCCCGCGTGCTGTGTGCGCAGTGTCACTGCCTGCGATGCCTGCACACGCATCACAATGCGGGCTTCAGCAGGGTTGATGGGGCAACCCAATCCTGTTCTGCAATCGCATGAACCTGGGAAATTGAAACGTTTTGAGGCGCCGCCATACCGGCCGCCAAACGTACTTTCGCTGCTGCCTAAGCACCTGGCTGTGCAAGCCTGCCCGCGTGCTGTGTGCGCAGTGTCACTGCCTGCGTTGCCTGCACATCCACCACGATGCGGGATTCTGCAGGTTGAGCATGCCCGTGCCTTGCGGGGTTGATGGCTCATCAGCTGCCGTGGGCGGCTGAGCTGCCTGCTGCAAGAAGGTGTGGGTGTGTGCGCTCACGCACCGGGGCCTTCACATCGGGGTGCTGCTGGTCTCCACACGACCTGCCAGGAGGGTGCCACCCTCCAGCTTAATACGAATCTGTGCACACCCGGGAAGGGGCCTGGTGGTGTCGGACCCCCTGCCATCCGCCGCATTCCTGTACTGCATTGGGTCACGCGGCTGCCCAAGCGAGCGCTTGCTCCGCTGTCTTCAACATCGCCAACGCGTCTGAGCCTGCACCCCGGGGCATCGTAGGCCTACGAACGATATTTCGCGGCAGGCAGCCGGCCTGGCTGGCGGTTGGATCTGCCCCATCTTGCGCTCTGCCCCATGTTAGCGCCTAAGGTGTCACCGCGCGCGCGACGCGCACTGAACGCTTTTGGTGTGCAAGCGCCTCAAATCTGTTCGTTGCTGTCCCCCAACAACTCGCTTGTGAATGCCGAGTAACAGTTTGAAGTACAAGTGTCCCATGTCTTAACAATGTTCAGCTCGCTTTTTAACCAACTAAGGTATGACAGGTGTTGAACGGGACCAATCCAATCAGTCATGATCAGGGTTGCACCGGCCCTTGGCTGCACGTGTGCTCCCGGGCAACCGAGCCAGGGGGATGCAAGGGCTACCCTAGTTGTGCTTCCTGGCACGACCTAGGTGTGACTTTATCGTACAGGCAGCTGGATTGTTGATTATTATTATGGGTTGAACAATATCATCACCATCACCACCATCTGCAGCTGCTGCTTGTGCTACCAATCGTCCGTACGCCACGTACCGTAGCTGATGTAGCTCAGTAGCAACAGTAAACAGCTCAAGCTGAAAGAGTTGCACGCCCTGCAGCAGTGTATGAGATTTCTTATGGTTGCCTGTCATACAAATTTGAATAATCGAATCTTCCACCGACAAGTTTTACACTTTCCCGTTTGAACTCTCGCGGGATCTGTCACTCAGTCTCACGATCTGACACCGCTCATCGTCTGTGTTCCTCCCAGTAATGGAGGACGAATACGAAGTCCTATGCGGCCAGCAGCCGCTGCTGGCCGTGCCCCAGCGCAGCGCCGATGGGCGCTTTGACGTGCTGCGTGTGCTGGGGGGCGGCTCCGCCGCGCAAGTTTATGAGGCTGTAGACATGCACAGCGGCGAGGCGGTGCGGCAGGGAGAAACATCACTAGAGCCTCAACTCTGAGACGAAGCCATGCGAGTCTGCTGGTGACAGCCTCTTGTGCGCGCACACCTGCCTGCCTGCCCCTGATCGCCTGGTTGTGTCAACACTCACCGTGCTCCTCCTCGCCCCACCCGAAAAGGTGGCTCTGAAGATTTTGGCGCCGGACCATGCAGCCCCCGGAAGCTGCGGCGTTGCTGCTGGCGCCTTGGCAGCAGCGGCAGAATTCGACTCATATCAGGCTCTCGGCGCCACAGCGCACGGCGACCCCGGCAGCTGCGCCGCCGACCTAGCCTCTGCGGCTGCGCACGGCATACCCTTCGCCTATCAGCATGGTACGGCTGCTTGTGAGCATGGTGCGGCTGTGCAGCACTGCAATGGTGCCATTCTGAGGCGGCACCGGCTCAAACGGCATGCGCCCCCATGCAGACTGCCATCAATCACTTCACAGCGCATACTCAACGTGCCCTAACACACCCTGCATGTTGTCCCCCAACACCTCTCGTAGGCGTCCTCACCGTGTCCCACCCAAACACGCAAGCTTCTGCCTCGCCACCAAGGCAACCCGTTTCCGACCCCGCGTGCCCCGCCCCCATGCACGCCGCACCCCGCCACGACGCCACCGCCGCCGCTGCCGCCGCCCTCGGCAACCGACGCTACCCCTACCTCTCGCTGCAGCTGCTCGGCCCAGACCTGTTCACGCTGATGGAGCGCGGCGCGTTTGACGCGAGCCAGGCGGGGCGCGACAGGCTGGCGGAGGTCGGGCGCAGCATGGTCACGGTGCGCGGGGCCTGGCGTCCATTGCTGGGGAGCCGGTGCTGCCAGACTGGCTGATCGCACAGTTGTTGAGTCGTCTGAGGCATGTATTTTTCAGCTTGTCTTGGGACTCCCATGCATGGGTGCATGCGTCGCAACATGCAGTGCATGCAAGGTTCATGCGTGCACCAACAACATGCAACGCATGCAGTTCAGGGTTTTGAAAGAAGCAGGCATGCTTCAGAACGCACACCCGCACATGCACAACTGCGACGCGCCCCAGGCTCTTGAGTTCATCCACGACCGTGGTCACGTCCATGGAGACCTGAAGCCGGGTGAGTGTGCACGCACGCATGCCATGCGCGGCGCATGTACGTGTGATTGTGTGTAGATGTGTGAGTGTGTGCATGTGCACATAGGCGGTCCTGCAATCTTGCGTACGTACAGGGATGTTATCATTGTCAGTGCTGGTGGTAGTGGTGGCTGTGGTGCTGGTGATGATTCGACTATGGGGCTGTGCCGGGACGTCGAACTCGTGACAGTCATACATCAGTCACACAGACTGAACGGCCCCCAGAGTGCTGGCCTGTCATCCAGCCCCACCACCTCCGCGCAGCTGCCAGCGTGCGCACCTGGCTCACTGCCGCGCGCTGCCCTCCACACAGAGAACATCGTGGCGCCGCGGCCCATGAGCCCCTCGAGCCCCTTGCCGCCGGCCGGCCCACCCCCAGCGACGCGCCCGGGCGCCGCGCTCGACCGGCAGCTGCCCGCCAGCTTCTACCTGGTTGACTTTGGCGGCATGTCGAGGATCGACGCCGCCGGTGCGCGCATGTGAAATCGCCCCATAGCCCAAAACCGCCGCGCCACAGACGGCACTGCGTCCCGGTGCAGACAGCGCCTCTCCCGCCCTTCTCAAAGGATGCGGTGCAACCTGCTGACCGCCGCTGGCTGCCTGGTGCCGCTAGCCAGGTCAGGTTGCTGCAAAGGCTCAAGTCCTATTGCCCCACTCCCCGGCCCGCTCCCCGTGCAGTGGGAGCGGACAACGATGCCCGAGATGAGCGTGAGGGCGGCGGCCATGGCCCCCTCTGGTGCACCCCGAGCTACGCGTCCGCGGCCGCCCTCAGGGGCGCGGCGCCGCGCCCGCACGACGACGCAGAGTCCCTTTGCTGCGTGATGCTGTGGCTGGCGACCGGCCAGCTCCCGTGGTGAGGTGCAGATAGGCTGGGGGTCTGCAAGGTGACGCGCCTTGGCTCCGCCGTGCTGCGGTGTGCTGTGCTGCGCCGCGCTTGGGCGCTCTATTCACTGGAATGGAGAGGTGCGGCGTTCATGGCCAAGTGTGGGCGTTCGCAGTCCGAAAGGCACCCAGGCAAGGGGCCGCATCAGAGTCCATTGGTTCAGCCGCGCACACGGCACGGCGCGCGCCCTCGCCGGCCGGGCCCCGCAGGGACGACGCTTTGACTGTGGCCGAGCAGGCGGGGGGCGGCGGCGGCTTCCATCCGAGGGAACTTGCGGCGATGGCGGAGGTCAAGGCGCGCGCGTGGCTGGAGCAGATCGAGGGGGTGGGCAACTTTCCTGAGTGCAGCCTGGGCGGAGGCCCGCGCCGCTTGCGCCGCGGGCCGATTGCGAAGCACCTTGTTGTGTGCGCCGGGTATCGTATGGGTCGTAGCTACGGACACCATGAGATTTTCTGTTGATCTTGTCATCGCCAGTGCGGCTCTGGCCGGTATGACACCAGCCTCGTAGCAGGCCTGCTCAAGTGACAAGCCACCGCACCAACATCCTCGCCCAGCAGCACACGCGGCACCCACCCATCTGGGTATGCAAGATCGTCTCAAAGCTCCCCACGTGCCGCGCCGCGCAGGGTGCGCCACCACATCTCATGCCGTCGTATGTGGCGTCAGCATACTCATATGTGACAGCCCTTCCCCGCGAGGAGCCCCTGAATTACGGCCGCCTCGCGGCCATCTTCTCGGCCGCCACAAACAAGGACGACCCCGGCACGCCTGCGTGGCGCAGGAAGCAGGCCGAACGGAAGCGGCGCCGCGCAGGCGGCGAGGCGGGCGCGCGTCGCAAGGCGGCGCGCCGCAGCGGCGGCGGCGGCGGCGGCTTCGGCGGCGCGTGGGCAGGCGCGAGCACGTGCGCGGCAGCGGCGTGGCTGGGTGGCAGCGGGGGCGGGGAGGAGTGAGAGGGGCCTGGCTTGGGGGAGGAGGTAAAGGTGGCCCCAGGCACGGCAAGCCTGCAGTGAAGACCAACGCATTGAAGACCCGTGAGTGTGTGTGTCTGGTGTTTGTGTGTTTGTCGATTTGTCTATTTGTGAGTGTCTGCTTGTTTGCAAGTGTGTGATGGTGTATGTGTGTGTGTGTGTGTGTGTGTGTGTGTGTGTGTGTGTGTGTTTGTGTCCAGATGTGTGAATGCATGCTTGCATGCGTTGATGCAAGATGACAACTGCAGATTACACTGACACAGTGCATGGACAAAATTGTATATGCTTGGCGGAAGTGGGTCGATATGCTCCTGGTCGCGTGGCATACATGCAGGAAGGCCAGGGTGGGCGCATGGGCCACCAGCCATCAAAAATTCCCTGGGTCTGCCGAAACAAAGCGGCCACGACAAAGCGGGGGAAAGGGGATGCCTGCAGGCGGGCGGCCCCTGCACTAGCCTGCCCCTGCGTCTGCTGGCGGCAAGGCAGCAGCCGGGGGGCGTGGATAACAGGGAGCACGCCAGCAGCTGTCGACAAGGCAAGGGCAGGGCAGGGGGACCGTGCCCGCCGGTCGTGGCGGAGACGTGGCAAGCCGCGCATGTGTGTCAGTGCTGGGGGTGGCCTGCCCCGAAACCAGGAGCCCAGGGATCTGATACTTGCTGGCCCGATGTGACCAAGGGGGCAAAGGCCGACAGATAGAGGCACGCATGGGTACAAACATCGAATGCAGCCACAGCCGACTCGGGGAGTTGTGGCGCGGGCAGCACACCAGCCGGGACTCCGGCGCTGGCCTTGCTGTTGCAAGCGATAGTGCAGCTGGGAGCAGGAGCGGCAGTGTCGGCAGTCGTCGTAAGCGCTGGTTGCGGGGCACCCGCCCGCCTGGGCGACAACGGGGCTGCAGGGTTATGTGAGTGTGCGCCCACGCAAGGACTAAGCCGTAGAGGCACACGCCAGCGGGTTGCTGTGATTCTCAAATGCACGCACGGCCGCAGCCATAAGGGTTTGGTGTCTGGCAGCGTGGGCCAAGACACATGGATGCATGACACGTGGGGAGATGCGTGATTTGGGGTGGCGGGGTGGCTCGAGAATGCATGCGCGGCAAAACGGCAGGGAGCAACCCACGCCGCGGGGCAGCGCGGCCGCGACAGGCCCTTGTGTAACGAGGGAAGATGGCGCGATGCAGGAAGCCTCAGCCGCGGCGATTATATACGGTAATCAACCACAGGAGCGATGGCGAACGCGGATGGGTAGCGCGCGCTGTGCGGCGCCTCGCGACGGGCATTGATTCAGCGCGCGTGAGCGCTGCGCGAGGGCTGCCTTATGCAGCTGCCTTGTGTCGCGAAAACGAGGACAGTGCTGCCAGTGAAACAAAAGATCAGCTCTGCCAAAGGGGACCCCAGCCAGTCTTCCGCGCTTGCAGCCCGCTCTCCCGGCCGGCGGGCGGGGAGCGGGCTGCGGATCACTAAGGAAGGCCCGAACGCTGTGCTGGCGCAAGCTGCCCCCGGCACAGCAGCTGCGCCGGTCGTGCGGGCGCCGCGCATTGGCAAGGCGTGCAACGCGCCGCGCACCCCGCCAAAAAGCCTCAAGGAGCGCGAGGAGCTGCCGGCTCCGGTTGCGCCCCTTATTGCTGCTTCACCCCTAAAAAGCTCCTCAAAGCCCCCCCTGCTTCTCCTCCTCCCCCGCCC